GGGGGGGGGGGGTAAATTGCTCCCTAACAAAAGCGACTCCATACCCGGATCCGAGACTTCTGGTTAAGGATATACTACAATTAGTTTGCCTTCATAGATGAATTGTTTAGAAGCGAAGTAGTATAGGAAGGATTTGGACTTGAATACAGCAGAATTGTACAGAGGATTCTTATTAGACAACGCCAACTTTGTTTGAGATTTGAGGCATAGTGGATTGATAAGTAATTATTCTAAGTAGCACATCTTTAAATAATTTCTGCAGTAAACTCAAATTTAATGGTGAAGTAGAGCATGAAAATGCAATAAGAAAAAGAAATTCTGACCTTGATTGATCTCGTGTTCTCAAGTTCTATAAGGAAAGCCGCAGTCCCAAATTTTGCCTTCCCAGAAGAACCACCATCCTCCAGATCATTTGTACCACCTAAGGATATTCAGCATTGCCAAATTTATAAGAATTAGAAAAAGGAAACCTGCCAATATAATATAAGGAAGAAGATATGGGAATTCAAATTTTAGATGCTCTGGCTCAAAATACCTGTATTAAAATTTGTTTGTTTGAAGGAAGAAATTCCATTAGTCCTGCAAGTTTTCAATTGAATTGGACATCAATTTCCTGTATTTATTGGCTTTGTTGCTTGGACTCTCCGAAAATGTCACCTGATGCGTGTCAGATCCTCCAAAAGTAGTGCATTTTTGGAGGATCCGAGATGAGTGCAGCAGCATTTTGGAGAGTTCGCGCAATATAGGTTATTGGCCAAATTTTATAACAGCAAAGACGTTAAAATTTTATGACATGGACCTAAAGCCGGAAAAAAGGTCGGTTTCCTTAAAACTTTATTTACTGGTTAAAATGATCAGAAGAAAGGAAACCATAAACATTGTAAGAATTAACCAGGGAAGTATGCTTAGCATACTGATGCATACCCGACTCCATCTTTACAGTCATTTGAATAATCATCAAGCTTGGTTTTGTTATCAGCGTTGTTGGACGAATGAACAGCAGAGCCTAAACAAACGGCAATCAAGAAACATCCAACTCCAGGAAAAAGAATCTCAGCTTTGTTAATTTTGTCGTCAAGGTAATAATTCAATGTCGTTCCTGTCATAGCCAAAGGAACAGTACATGTCATGTTTCAACACCTTGCCTAAGCCCGCTGGCCACGGAGTAGTCACCAACTTACTTCAGAAAAATATAGATTACTGAAGTTAAAATGATACCTATAACAACTGTAATACTAGCAGAGACCACTTCAGTGACTGATAAACCAACAAAAGCCCAAGCATATTGAGTTGAAAGGTTCCCAAGGCTGAGGACCATCCCTCCAGCCATTGCAAACAAGACACTCGGCCAATTATCCTGCAACGTTCATCCATTACAAGTGAATAGGAAGTTTCAAAATGCTTGTTATTGAGCAAATTCAAAAATGAAAAACTCAATAACATCACGTGAGACCTATGTAACGTATTCTAAAAAGGAGATGTTAGTTCCTAATAGTACATCACTCTTTGGTGGCAAGACCTCTTGTTGAAGCGGTAAAGTTAACAGAAGCACATAATACAGATGTCACACAAATTTCAGGTTGAATGAGGAAATTCTTATCAGGTGAATTGATGAAAGAACATACGAATAAATCAAATTCCAGGTATCAGGATCAAATTCAGCAGAAAAATCAGCAGAAGAACAGAAGAATCTGAGTAGTATTATTCTGGAACCTAAAGTTAAGTGAATTGGTAAAAGCTTTCACAGACCTCTCGTCAACAAAAAACAACAACAACAACAACAACAACAACAAACCCAGTGTAGTCCCACAAGTGGAGTTTGGGGAGGGTAGTGTGTACGCAGTCCTTTCCCCTACCTTGAGAAGGTAGAGAAGCTGTTTCTGGTAAACAACTGACCTCTTGTCAAAAGTTCCTAATATAACTCGATTTATAAATCAAATGTGTCCGCTTTCTGGTCATCATTGTATAGCACAAAATTGCAGCCACGTTATAGATTTAATTAGGTACTCTATCCCCTGACAAAAAAAAAAGCAACATGTTTCATGTACTTAATTAAACAGAAAGTATGCCAACATAGAAGAGGCCTGCAGGTATTCACCTTTGACAATTGAACAATGTCCTAAATTGAATACTAGAAACATTGACATGAAAAATAGAATTTCCATCTTGCATCAATGCCTAGTCCCATTTGAAAGCAAATTAAATTCTTGGCAATGAAGGGCACTAACCTGAGAGAGTTGAGTGAGGAAATCAGGCATTTCTGGTGTGCTTGGCCCAAACTGACCAAAGGTTAAAGCAATGATCACAGCAGCCAACAGATTGGTAATAGTATAATCAAGGTAAGTATGTTGAGGAAGACGCCCTCGTCTTTCGAGCAAAGTCAATAAAGCTGGCCATGTCCCTAACAATAACAGAGACAATAGCATACAAGCTATAGCCCCACCTTTGCTCTCTACCATATACATCTTCAATCCACTAGATAATACACCTTCAGGTGAAAGTATTACCAACTTGGGAACACTCCAATAGTCCTATCCAAAGAGGAAAAACATTGAAGATTCAATCTTTTAATTGTTCAACAGATTAACACACTCCCAAATTCATTGCCTGCAGAAATGATCAATGAAATGGGAAATCAGCAAACAGCTCCGCCACTGCCGTGGGGACCACATCCCCAGAGACAGGGAACTGGGATTTGTCGTATACATATCTGTGTCTGCACCCTAAGAAACCACAAAGATAGAAACTTTACCAATCTGTTTACCAAGAAAAAAGTAGCACACTCACAAAATCCCCCCACAAAGTTGAGAACAAAGAAGTATGAACAATCTGAATATAGCACAAGAAAATTTCTAGTGATACTAATAACAACAACTACTACGCCTCAGTCCTAAACAAGTTAGGTTTGGCGATATGAAACCTCACATCTTTCATTTAAGCTCAACTCGTATACAACAACAACAAAGCCCGTGAGTTCCCACAAGTGGGTCTAGGGAGGGTAATATATACGCAGCCTTACCCCTACACTGGAAGGGCAGAAAGACTGTTTCTGATAGACCCTCGGCTGGGGAATAAGCTCAACTCATATATGATCAAGAAAATTTCTGGTGACATAATAACAAAATTGCTGCATATAGAGTTTGCTAACACTTTTGAGAAATTGGAATCAGCATAAAAGGATCTTTGCTTAGTAGTTGAGTGATATGCACTTACTGCAATTCTGTAAAAAGATTGCATGATCAAGAAATTTCTATTTTTATTTCTACTATTTAAAAGGAAATCATTGACTACAAAATTATAGCCTTCACAAACCATTTCAATTGAAGAATCAAGTTTTCCTCTCAAATATCAGCCCAATTACTCACCATTTCAGATTGTAAAAGGGAATCAAGAATCTTTAACAAAAACAAAAAGGTAAAAAGACAAAACAGTGAACACTTTTTTGGACTCAACCACCATTTGGGCCACCAAATATCCATTTGTTGCTTCTCAAACATAAACCACTCATCATATCGAAAAGCCAAAAGGGTATTAAAAACTTAATTTTTTAATCATAAAAAAAGAATCTTTCAACATTAAACAATATATACAAACAAAGTTTTCGTGCAAACACAAACAACACCCAGAGATGGATATAGGATTTTTGTTCTATGGGTTCATCATTTAAAGTTATGAGTTCATATCTACTATTTATTGCAATTTTAATGATTTTTTACACATAAATTTTCAGTTGAACCCAATAGTTCTATGGTTCATTCACCGCGGGCAACAACAGGAACAACAAACCCAGTGAAATTACATATGTGGGTCTCCTCGATAGTGTGAATGCAGTCCTTACCCCACCTTAAGACAGCAAAAATATTGTTTCCGGTACACCCTCGGCTAACAAAACACAAGCAATAGCAACACAAAAAAATAGATTCTTTTCAACCCAAAGAAAAAGATAGATAACCAACCTATATTATAAGACCCCACCAAAAGGATTTTCCAGAACTCCAAAATGTACAGCAAAATGAGGATCTCTGAATAGCAAAGTGAGATCTGGATAAGTGGGAAGCATTGGTTTTTGGTAACTACAAAAAGAGCAGTGAATATATATAATTATAGAAACTGCCATTATTGTTTACTTGGGATATGAAATCAATGAAGATACAGTAATATTTTTGTAACAAATGATTGATTTACTTAGTTGTGAATCATGGTGTCAGAATCTTGGCTGTCGGATTCTTGGAATCTGACGGTTAATAATTAAGGTTGTTGCTCTAATATGTGACCATGTGGACATTATTATCGGCGGTCAAATTGGATGTTGACAATTTTGAGTGGACGTCACCTTTTACACTTGCCCCAAATGAAAGGGAAACTTTAGTACTTCACCTTATTTATTGGGTGATTGTTGAAAGTTGAAATGTGGAAATTTATGGGTTTTTTTTGTTTTTTCTAGTATTGGTCAATGTTCTTTTTCTATTTTTCTTTTCTATTCTTTTTCAAACTATCTTTCTTTATTTATTCTTTTTTGGTATTTTTCGTTCGTTTTCAACTCTCTCTCTCCTTTCTTTTTCAGTAGGACTAATATTTTTTTTTAGGTATCAATAGGACTAATATTTACTCTAACTGAAGGGACAAACTAGAATAATGTCATATTTTAGAATTACTTATTAATATAAAAAATGATAACTTCAAAACTGAATTGTCCTTTTCCATATATCCCATTTTAACTGTCGCTTTAGCTCAAAATAATTGTCGCACAATAATTGTCAACTTGGGAATTCAAAATTAAATTTGTTGATTGTTTCTAACTATAGCCTTAATATTCAAAAAGTAAGAGTTCTTTCTAATAATGCTTAATTCTCAAAAATATTAAATAGGGACAGTGGCGGATTTATGTTTTGAGGTATGAGTGCTAAAGCACCCATTGCCTTTGGCCAAGTTGTATTATGTATTCATATATAATATTTAAAAATTTAGATAATTGACCATGAGCATCCACTATGATCATATTTGACCATTGTTAATTTACACTAAAATAAGTGAAGTACCCACGATTTATAAATCTTGGATCCGCCACTGAATAGGGGTAACTTAATTAGTAAACTATATCTTATATTTATTATTTTCTTAATGAACATTAAAAGAACTAAAACAATAGTTAAAATCTATATCTATATTATATTAAAAGGAGAGTAGTCTGCATTTGGTTAAGCCACTTGGCACTTTTAAGACAAAATCAAAATAGATTTTAGGACAAAATCTAATATAGATTGACAAGATTAGGATAAAAATAATATGAAATATGGTATATTTAGGAACATTATGCTTATTAGAAGAATACCAAATCTGTAAATTGTTCAAGAAATTTTTATGTAGTAAATATTTTTATTTAAGGAAGATTCTTTCTTTAATTTTGGTCAAAGTGAAAAACGAAAGGATTGAATTTGGACTGATTTTCCTTCATGATACATTTCCAACTAAAATTTAGGTGATATTATTTTTTTAATTTAGGTACATATTAACAAAATATTTAGTTTGACAAATATGATATGAAATGTCATAATTAATCTCTCTCTCACACACACCCTCTCTCTCTCTATATATATATATAAGGAATAAAGTTTGTATTGTAATTAAGTCAAGGGGAAAACTACTATAAAGTCACTTGGCAATTTAGGATAATATTATAATAATATTTAAATTAAATTTAAGAGAAATTATTTTTTGAATTTAAATTAAAAAAATATTAAATAAGATTCTTTTGAATCTTAATGGAAAGAAAGTTAATATTTTTCTAAGATACAACCTACTATCTTATCTTTACTGATAAGATTTTAAAAAAGATAAAAATAATAACTACAAGTAAGAATAAAAATAATCTATATCTATTCTGTTAATTTATTTTCTTAAACTGAATCAACTCAATTCTTTTTCAAGCTTTTGAATTGAAAAACATATAAATCGGATCATATCCAAGTTTTTGAATACGAAAAGAAAACTTACAGGATGTAAAAATATGAACAGATACTCTTCTATTTTTTTAATATATTATTGACTTAAATACTAAATAGAATAACTTTATAAAATTTATAGTAGGAAAAATAATAAAAGAAGAGGGGGCGGAGATAGTGTATGAAAATTTATAATTTACATTTACATAATAAATAAAATAAAAATAATAAATAATACTAAATAATATTATTAATAAATTTAAATATTAATCTAAGTAGTAGAGTAAAAGTTAAAAAAAAAATTTATTACAGTAAAAAGAAAAACTAAATTCATCCATAATATATTATAATCTATTTATATTATATTAAAAGGAGGGTAGTATGCATCTGTATCTTCTATATTATCTTCTATATTTGCTTATTGCATGTAGTACAAAAATAATAATTATTAAAAATATATAACTTAATCGTAAAGATCACATTCAAATTCACAATTTAACACTGAATATTGATAGGTGAAATTCTAAGTGAGACTAATCAATTAAAACATCATATAAAAATGTACAAAGTGAAGGATAGAGACAATTTGTTGATATTTATAATATTTATTAATTTATAATAACTTTAGAGTTTTGAAGATGAACGTAAAAATGGAAAAAAAGTTCCGAGAAAAATTTTTAGGAATAAGAAAATAGATATTTATGTTATATTAAAAGGAANACATATTAACAAAATATTTAGTTTGACAAATATGATATGAAATGTCATAATTAATCTCTCTCTCACACACACCCTCTCTCTCTCTATATATNAATTTGTTGATATTTATAATATTTATTAATTTATAATAACTTTAGAGTTTTGAAGATGAACGTAACAATGGAAAAAAAGTTCCGAGAAAAAATTTTAGGAATAAGAAAATAGATATTTATGTTATATTAAAAGGAGAGCAATTGAGAAAAATATTAAGTCAAGTGACAAGCTAATAAAACGTAATGAGATAATATTAAGTATAGCAGATTATGTAATAAAGTAAAATAATGAACTGAAAGTAATTCGATGACTATATGAATCCTTTTATAACTTTATAAGATTCTTTTATTGGGTATGTTTCCTTGGGTAACAAGAAGGTAATTAAAATTTGATTCAAACAATATGATATAATTCACATTCTTTAATATTATCTGCGCACCGCGCGGGTACTAATATTAGTTAAAAGAATAAAGTAAATATTAAAGTACGATAATCAACGTATAAAAGTTTGGTGTAAATTTAAGTCATTTTAAATATGCGGTGGACACATGTCATTAGTAGGCTAGCTTATATATACATTATTTCGTACTAAATAAGTTAAAAATTATAAATCCACCTTTGCGTTGACAGCTTTGTCCAACAAGAAATTAATTAAGGTCAAATCTCTCGGCTTTAACCCTTAATTAGAGACTATTAACTTTTGGATTTTTTCATTTCCACCAATTCAAGTGGGAAGGTTTCATAACGTAGAAAATGACACAAAAAAAGTTAGGCATGTGTCAATTAAAGTAATTAAGATATAAGTTTGGTTAGGCATTGTTTGAAGTTGAAAAAGTACGATTAAGGTATAAAGCTTAAACAAAAAGTGAAAGAACTGACCTGGCTAGGGTGTTTTTTTTAACGTGTAGAGATTCTAGATTTTTTTAACGTTACATAAGTATAATTTACTAATCCTACCTTTACACATGCAAAACTTTATTAAAGAATTTAAATTTTAATCGTTGTTTTCTACTCGGTGTAATTTGGAAGCCTCCAACACATTATCCACCCTTTCTCCCAAAATTTCAACTCCTACTTATAACGACCACTTAACCATGATTGACTTCTAACCCAAGGGATGTGGTGGAATTATAAATATTTCCTTCACCTGTAGTCAGAAAATTCATATTCATTCAAACTTTAAACAGGAAACACAAAAGTCCCCCATAGTTAGTTTTCTAGCACGTGAATTTGAATTAGTTTGATCAGTAAATTTCAAACACTGAATGATTAAACCAAAAAAGATTTTAACTGCTTAAGTGCTCTCTTATAAGTACCGTTAATAAATAAAAATTAAACTATTTTCAGGATATGCTAGACTTTTTCTTTTTGATTTCTCGTCATGTGTCGGTATCCATATTAGATCCAAATTATATCTAAATTCGAGCCGCGTTAGAACCATTTATAGAGAAAGCACTCCATAACATGATTTTTTTTCATATTTAGGGCTCGAACTCGGTTCACCGGCCATTTTGCACCCAAAAATCCCCTCTCTCTCTCAAACTTGCAACCCAATTCGCCATGTCTGATTGCCAAAGGGAAACGAAAACGAAAAGGCAAAAAGACAACATTGAATATTTCTTTTTTCTAGACTAGTTAACCACCATTTCCCAACCAAAAGTAACCATTGTTAATTTGTTATTTTCTCAAACATAAACCACTCATCGTGTCAAAAGTCAAGAAGAATTATTCAACAACAAAAGTAAGAGTAGGAAAGAAAAGGATAGATGACATACCAATCCCACCAAAACTCACTTCTTAACAAGAATGGAACTTCAGAAGTAGAGCAAAAGGGTGATATCTTGCAATTGTGAAGAAGCTAGGAAAAGAAGAAGAAGAAGAAGAAAAGGCAAATTAAATAAGAAAAGTAATGAGATATTGAAAAGTGGGTAGGAATATTGGTAATTGGTAACTAACTACAAAGAGTGAAGGGTATAGATATATATAATCCCAAGTGCAATTGAGCTCCCATTTTACTTGGGATTTATTTATTTATATATTCTTTTCTACAAATTGATTGAAATTGCTTAGCTGTTTTTGTGTTCATACTTGAGTTAGTACGTGACCCTAACATTTGCATTTTATGGAACGGTGTTTGAGTAGACACATTTTTCGAACAGTAGAAGAAGACTTCCAACCCAAACTAAATATATATTCTTTCTGTTCAATTTATGTGATATTTTTTGCTTTTCGAGATTCAAATTCCTTAATTTTAATTATGCATTTGGACATAAAACTTTTTAGCTTTTCAAAATAAAATTTATATATTTAAAAACTACTAAAAAGTAGTATAAGTCATAATAACTAATAATTTAAAATATATAAAAAATTATGATAAAAGAATAATTTATTTGACTCTCGAAATTTAAATACCTTCACACAAATTGAAATGGAGGGAATATAAATACTAAAATTGTCCTTATTGTGAATAATTAATAAATTGAGAAGTGGTGAAAGCTCCACATACCAATTATAACACCCGACAAGACCAATTTGCAAAAGTACACTTCTTAACAAGAATTGAACTCCAAAAAGTACACCAAAAGGTTATCTCTGGCAATATTGAAGGATGAGAGGAGAAGCAAAGCAAAATGAGATATGGAAAAGTGGGAAGCATTTGTTTATAAAAAAGAGAGAAGGATATCTAAATAATCATATGATCTTCCATTTTGGCATTGTACATGGGATTATATAATATATATCCACATTGAAGTAAAGCATATATCAGCCATTCTTTTTATTTTTATTTTTACAAACGATTATAATTGCTTAGCTGTATGTGAATATATTGCTGTCTTTCCAAAAATCTGACACTAAACAGTTCTTGTTCATGCACGAATGAGGATAGTAGTGGAGTGGTAAATACTTGTTTACCTTTAATAAAAAAATCTTGAGTTCAAGTTCCAGATATATATAAAATTGCCTTTGTTAGAAAATAATTTACCTTTCAACATAGAATTTTTCTGACTCGAATCCCAATTTACTCGAACCATTAACATGCAATGGCTAATTCAAAATTTTTAAATTATGAATGCTCTGCAGAGAGATGGGTGTTCAACAATATTATGTAACCATGTCACCAAAAGTCTTCGACGACCAAATTGCATGGTGACAATATGTATGGATGTCACTTCACAACCCCCCC